CAGGCGCGGAGTAAGTAAACACCGAAAAATTTTGCGTTCCACATCAATAGCTGATCTGATTAGTACTTCATCAAATACACAAAAATTGATAGCCGTGTTCAAGGACGAAAAGATGAACTCACGGAACGCACATCTAGCATCGATGAAGCTCTACCACTCTGAAGCAGCCGCAGAACCTGTGGGTTCAGAAGGCCTTCTACAGGCCGTGATAGAGTATTTTGAGCGGTACTCAACCAAGTACTCCGCCTTTCAGGACATCCGTCCACATCTTCCACATCTGAAACCTCAGCATCAGCTAGAGCTCACGCAAATCACAAGCCAGCTTTCTAAAGAATATTGGGATGTAGAGAGTCAGTCAGATGTGAGCGTACCTTTATCTCCTGATTTCGACGTTCTAACGCCCCGAAAGGTCCATAAGGTCATAGTCGAGATCAACGTATTGAAGCTTGAATATCATCTTCTCGTCTCTCCCGACCATACTCGTCACCCAAACTTGCTACCCACGTTCATCAGCAACTGCCTTCTACTGTACAGCCACTCTCTTAAGTTCGGTGACAATTCTGCGCCAGTCGAGCGCCGAACTGGTGACGATGCAGCTCTCATGGCTGCTATGGGCCTGATACACTTGCTCAAGAAGGACGATGAGTCTGGCGACCCTAGTGACAAGAAAAAATGGCCTCAGACTTTGCTTCGGAGTATTGCGATTCTGGAATACCTCCTTTCGAACTCTCCGCATAACTACGACGCCTTGCTCATTCTAGTCCGCCTTTATATGTACATGGGCGCGGGCTCGCTGGCCATGGAGCGCTATTCTCGGCTATCAGTCAAGAACCTGCAGTATACATACATGTCATGGGTGCTGTTTAGTAATATTTCAACAATTCATCCATATCCCGCCCAAGTTTCTTCCGCCGACGGCAAGATTCAGACTACCTTCGACCCGCTAGAAGAGATCAAACAGATGCTGCATTGGTTCCAGGGTGCTGAGATCAAGGTCAAACAGAATACGGTCAAAATGCAGGAGAACGGGCAGTGGGAAATGTCTATGGATGCCCTCTCAACCACCGATGTGCTTTCTAGGAACTTCGCAAAACACCAGCTCTTTGCCGAAGCTAAGCGTATCAACCGTCTGACTTCGCCCTCTCATGATGTTTCCAATCATCCAGCGTGTGAGTGGCCCAACGCTGGTTCCAGTAATATCACTATCTAGCCATTACTGACGTTCCTAGTCAAAATTCCGCTTCAAACACGGGACATGGGGGAGAGAGTACCATTCCCATCTTTCGAAGCTCATTCCCAGCCATACTTTGAAGAAATTTTGCCTATAGCTGGACCGCGTAACCCCAACGTAAGTTTTCTTGGGAGAATAAGGATGGGTCTAAGCTGACCTAACTCAGGATACCTGGCTTGAGCAGCAGCTGAGTGCGGCACGATTCTGGGACGCTTTCCACAGCAATGGGCAAAGCCCAATCAATGCCGATCAAGTAAGCTTTATGAAGCAAGGTTCAGCTCGATTGGAAAAAACCCTCACCAATTCGGAACTCGAAGCTGGCAATATCATTTATTCACTCGAGCAGCTACATTCGGTCTACTACCTTAAGTCATCCGAGCACCCCAAGGAAAACATTGCGAAGTGCATCCGCCAATTGGTGACTTTCTTGGAAGACCACGTAACCACGGCTTACAACAGCCTGGCGTCTTTCAGAGAGCAACCTCAGGACGAACCTCCTTGTGACATATACCCGACCGGGGATGTTTTGCACCGCCAATACATGTGCCTAGAGATCTGCCAATTCATGGTACCAGTCCTGAATTATATCGTTGCCGAGAATGTAAAGCTAGCATACGTGAGTCACGAATGGCTTAAAGATACAGTACAGCGCATCAAAGATCGATGCAAAAACATCACTGTCGATATTTATCGAGCCGCAGAGGACCTGAAAGCCAGACTGAGTCGCCCAACAGCCATCGAGGAACTCGAAGAGAAAGTGCTTGCTTGCAGCAAAGCCAAGGAATCCGAAGATATAATTGGATATGACATTCAACGAAAATTCGGAGACAGGATGAATGTGACGAAAGTGTTGAAAGACCTGCATGCAAGCTGGATCGATGGATTGGACGGAGTCATTCGTACCAAAGGTACATAGAGGGCGTTGTGCTCGGATAGAGATGGAGCATGGTGCATTTAGAGGAGGGTATCTATGGAGTGCATGAGCGCTGGATGATTGCATATGTATAGCGATTGGGCGTTAATACCGACAGGAGATACCCCATCATGTTGGCGCGACGCAGGACATTGATCGGATCATTAGAAGGGCTAGGGATTGTGTTTACAAACCATACATGCGAATGGAAGAAAAAGTCATTACACAAGATGGTCTATGATGTGTTCTATATCTGCACGCTATTTATACTGTCGTTGGTCCCCACAACATCCCTCACAACCTATCCTCCTCAGCCTTCCTCCTCACCTCCTTCCTAGCCATCATCTCCCTCCTCTCCTCCCTCAACGTCACATATATCTACACTCATGTCAGCAAGTTCCTTCCGCTCTTCTCTCTCATTCAAACAAACTCACCCAAAACCACCCTAACATCTCCACAAAACCCCACGTAAAAACAACATTATTAGAAACCAACCCGCTCACTCCAGGATAGTTAGCCTCCTTAGGCAAGATACGCTTTGCCCCCGCCTTCCCCAAATAACTAAACCCCGTAATCCCAAAAAACACCGCCAATCGTATCGGCGCCTGGCTGCTCCAGTAATAGCTCGCTACCTCCTCTGGCAAGCCTGTAGCCGCCAAATCACTTATTCCTAGTATTGTGAGGAATAAGGCTGCGAGAGCGAGGGCGGGGGATGAGAGGGAGAGGGAGGATCCTGAGGCTGGGGAGATGTCCATTGAGGCGCCGAGAATGAAGACGAGGTTGTGGTCGGCGAGTTTGGCGGGCGAGGTGAGGAGGTAGTAGGCGCATGTTAGGTGGAAGAGGGAAATGGTACGCAGGAGGGTTGTTGCTGAGAGGATTGCCATTTTGACGGAGTTCGGGAGAGGAGAGTACTTCCTCGTCGAAAGAATGGACCTGGGGGAACTGAAGTCTGCTTGGAAGTAGGGAGTACCGGAACCCTAACCCTAAATTCCGCCCTGTTCTCTGTTGTCCAAGGCTCCCTTATTCAATACGCCATTATTTACTTCCATTAGGCCTGCATGCCAATGATCAAATGTCGACTTACGCCCACGCCCCTCCCCTATCCCAGTCTACCCTCACTCTCACACCAGACCGCTCCACCTTCAACAAAGAGCGGCACATCAAATACTGGCTCCGCTGTCTAAAGACCCACCTCCCCACAGCCTACACATCCAACGACTCCCAGCGTATGACCCTTGCATTCTTCATCCTCTCTGCCCTTGATATCCTCGGTGTCCTACACACCAAAACCACACCTGCTGAGCGGAAAGAGTATGTCGAGTGGATATTACGGTGCCAGCATCCTGGTGGAGGATTTCGGGGATTTACTGGTACGATGCTAGGGGATGAGGCCAATGGGGAGGAATGTGTGTGGGACTCAGCGAACCTAGCAGCTACATATTTCGCGTGTGCAGCACTTATGGTGCTCGGGGAGGGCATGGAGAGAGTCAAGAGGAAGGAATGTTTAGAGTGGGTGAGGGGGTTGCAGAGGGGAAACGGGGTTTTTGGGGAGGGGATTGGGAAGGGGGGACAGGTGGAGGGGAGCGAAGATATGAGGTTTTGTTATTTGGCAGCGGGAGTGAGGTGGATGTTGAGGAGGGGGGACATGGAGAGGGGGAAGGATATTGATGTTGAGGGGTTGGTGGGGTATATTGAGGCTTCTGTGGTGAGTAAGGATCCTGCCTGGAGAGAGTAGGTATGCTGATGACTCTAGACGTATGAAGGTGGAATCGCGCAGGCGCCGTTCCATGAGGCACATGGTACGCAATCCATTGCCTGTGCTGCGGGATGAAGAGCCCTTGCTCACCAGCGTATGCAGCTGGGTTGACATATTCTGGTGTCGGTGCATTGTCATTACTCGGGAGAATCCCACGAAAAGGACGCCCTTCCCAGGATGGAAAGACAGTGAGTCCGGAGTTCATTGAGAACATGACTCGATGGCTTGTCTCGCGGCAGACGTTGATGCTGCAAGACGACGAGGATGGTCTGGACGTGGTTGATGACGAGCCTCCCGATCCAGAAGCTGCACCAGCACCTCCTGTCTTTCCACCTACGTTTCACGTCTTGGGTGGCTTCTCTGTCTCGATAGATGCAGCTACACACACAAATCCACCTTCTGTAGAGGTCTCGAAGTATGATCGACAGTGGATTGGGGTCAATGGCCGGTGTAACAAAGTAGCAGATACTTGCTACACTTTCTGGGTTGGAGGAACCTTGGGGGTAAGCTCCTGCCGCAACCCAGAGTCAGTCGACGTCTTCTGACAAAGCTTCACCTTCAGATGCTGAACAAGGTGTATCTCCAAGATTTCAATGGAATCCGCCGATACCTCCTTGAAAAAACCCAGCACATGATCGGAGGATTTGGCAAAATGCCTGGCAATCTTCCAGGTGAGTTTTGCTTTGCCCCAATCTCCCAGCAATTGGTTATTCTAACCATATTTATCTAAACAGACATTCTGCACTCTCATCACGGTCTCGTCACTTTAGCAACCATGCGCGAATCGGATCTAAGAACCATTGATCCCACTCTGTGCATCAGTGTCAGCGCAAGAGAGAATTTCGAACAGCAGATGGCTGTAAGCGAAGCAGGATTAGACGAGTAAGAGGCAGCCCTCTCAAGTCTTCTCTAATACCCACCGCGCTTTCATTGGTATAATAAAGAGATCGGCGATGGTTTGTTCAAAATAAATGTGAAGGCTGGCTTGCCGCCCCTTTGGCGCTTCACCCCGTCTCAGCCTTGGCGCCACTCGAGTCATACCCAGCCATTCTTTCCTACTGACATACTGCGTCAAGGCGCCTACCAACCTGAAGTTCCTGCGCCCGGTAGCTCAGTGGGAGAGCAGGAGCCTGCAACGTTCCAGGTCCATCGTTCGATTTAGGTCGGGCTTGTCTTCCTTTTCTTTTTTTTTTTGCCCTTTTTCTTTCCTTCCAAGCAATCGGCCGCCAGCACCTACCACTCCATGATATTGAGCGAATTTCGAGCCTGACATGCCGAGACCTTGGAGCGAAGATTGCCTTGGACAAGGAAATTCAAGCTTTAGAGTAAACAGTGCAGACGCCTCTTTGGGGCATGTGAACCTTTGAGTCATACACAACCTTTCTTTCTTTCCTGCTCATATGTTGTAATAGACGCATACCTATATGAAAAATGGGTATTTTAGCTCAGTGGTAGAGCAGGAGATTGCAATTCTCAAGGTCCATCGTTCCGAATCGGTGACGGGCCTTTTTCACTTTTTTGGCCCTTTTTATCAAACCCCATAGATTGAAGTGTCAGAAGGCATAAACTGGGCTCGTCAGCTCCAGCCCAGCATGCTTGATAAACCAATGTAAGAAGCGTGGAATACGTGAAATGATCTGGATGAACGAATAGAAATAGAATGGTATATATACAATGCTTTTGCCCGCTCCAAAATGCTATGATGAATCCCTATTCCCACGCCAACCCGTGACCCCGCCATCCAAGTACAAGAACATTAATGTACACGGTCGGTCGCTTTCTGCTCGGAGAAAAATCATGGTTCAGAAGACTCTGCCCTCTCTCGACTCTTATAGTGTACACCATGCTCCCCTTTCCGCTCAGAAGCAGCATCACCAGTCAGAGGTACTTGCCCAGCCGCATCAGCACCAAGAGCAACCTGGCCCGTCTCCTCAACACTGATCGTCTGAATACTCCCCGAGGCCTTGGGATTTTTCGTGTAATGGAAATCTTCTGAAGAAACTGGAGCCGGCGCCTCGTCCGGTAATTCCTTCACATCGCTTCTAGAAGGCGTGATAAGTCTCCCTTGCGCGTCTCTGGGTTTGCGCTCCCAGCCTGTTTTTAGGCCGCGAGCGAGCTTGAAGCGGGGGAAGATGTGCGCTTCGGTGTTGATGACTATGGAGTCTAGAGGTAATAAGTCGGTGGGGGAGAAGAGGAGGTAGAAGTATTTGAGGGTTTCGGCCTAATAATCATATCAGCACCTTCACGCTTTCCCAGAGTTTACAGACTGAGAGAACTTACCAGCCAGAAACTCTCCATATTATCTTTCAAAATCGGGGGTATCTCGTTTGCATGCGCCAAACTCGTAAACCCGGCCCCATCATCCGCAGCGGTATATTTTACAAAAGACTTAAACATCTCCCATCCCCACTCACGGTATTTTTCGTCTCCAGTGATCCGCCACATGTAGAAAAGCGACTCCACCGTTTCCGGCCGTTGCAGATTGTGGTTGTCATTAGCTTTAATAATGTAATCATCTCTCCACGATGCAGTTGGGCTATCGACCATCTCTTTGGACGCTAATACCCCATCCTCTTCCACGTGTGGCGGGTCATCCAGGCGGAAATGGGTTATCTCTGGTGCTAGCCCTGTTGCCATAACTTTGTACATCCCCCAGCAAGTCTTTGTGAGTTCGATGGCGAGGCTCATCTCATCTTCTTCTTTCTCGCCCCATCTGCCTGCTTTCTTGGCTTCTGCGACTGTCAAGCCACCCGTGGCGCCGAGAGCGATTGTGCCGGGCATGAAGCAGACGAGATGGTCCATCTTGCCAGACAGCTTGTTGGTTAGACCGTTATCACGTTCGCCCAGAACGGTGAAATGGTGCGGTTCAGAGTATGTGATTAGGTGTTTTCGAACGCCAGCCAAAGATTGGTTCCACAATTCTTGATAGACTGGTTCCTCACCACAAGTCTGCAGATACTGCTTGATGAGGTACTCGTAGTATGAGTCTCCTCGACTTCCCAGGCGAATATTCTCACCCCTGAACGTACCCGTCGTAGCATAGATAAAGATCGGCAGAAGGCCATCCTCCATACCGTTGTCATCAATGACTTGAATGACCTTCTCTGCTCTGTCCCAGTAATTTTTCTCTCCCGTCAAGAACGCAAGATACTTGAACTCTAATTGCAAGCTAGCCGCTTCAGCAGTTGAAGATGCACCACCATCCACGTGCGAACCCTTGCCCTTGGATGTCTTCAAATTCACATTCGCATAAGGCACACCGCTGTCAGAATCGAAGGCGCCCAGCAGTCGATCGGCTAGATCGGCCGCTTTCTCGAGATATAGATCTTCCCCTGGTGCACCTTGATCATCGTCGGCTAGGGGAGCCATGTCCGGAAATTGAGTAGAAAGGTAGTGGGCAGACAGCAGTCCGCCAAGCATGCGTATCGTAGTCTCAAAAGTATTCACTTCGTGGTTCTGGTCGTAATCAAGTGATGTTGACATCCATTCTCGAGCGTGAGACAGTCGAGACGTCAGATTCATTATCATAAGAGTGTCCAGAGCGTCGACGATTATCCAGCCCATGCCTTTACTTTTGGAATCCATTTGTCTTCCCTCTTTTGAGAGGGGATGATACTCGTCGTAGCCTGCAGTAAGTCACATTAGCCTCCACAGGTAACGGTGAACCTCGTTTCAAGGGCGGTCCTTATGGGAAGCCTGCTTGCGCAAGACCTCCCAAACAGCGGCTCAACATACCCCATGCATACTTCTCATATCCATCCCAGCTCACCATGAAAGCCTCCTTGACCTTCTCCCTTCGATACTCCCAGTCAACCTGCGGCTCCGAGCTTCCAAGCCAGCTTCCCCAACTTTTGCTGGTATTTGGCGATTTCGTCGATTTCGGCTTGATAGAAGACTTGAACATTCCACACCACCATGCCAATCCAAATATCACCAGAATAACACCGCTGACAACCCGCCGTCGCTGATAGAAAGGTGTGTTTCTTTGTGACCCGGCATAGTTGTATGGCTTGTCCTTGTACATGGGTAACTCCCGCTTGTCCATGAAACCATCCAGCTTGCTACTGAGCCCGTTCCCTGTGTGTCCGTTCTGATGTGGGAGCCCGTAATGACCATCGTGGTAGCGCTGGGTCAGAGACATCTCCCCGCTGATAATTTCGAAGGCAAAATTGTGTTTCCCAGCGAATCAAAGCCCTTTCCTCACCGGCTCCAACACTTCTGTGTAGTGTGATACGTCCTGACCACTGCCCGCCTTCCAGGTGATAGGGGGCGACTCGAAGAGAGGGTCCGCGAAGCTTTGGGGGATCATGGCATCTGCCTGACACGCTCAGTCTTGTTGGGACGGAATTCAGCAATCTGTAAATGGCAGAAAGCAGAAAGTCGACGCTCGAGGGATTATCAGCAAAGGAGGGTATTTTTTATTTGTAGATGCGGACTCGACACGGGGCAAGTCTTGGCGTTCCTCAAAGCCCTTACGCGCTAAGATACGCAAGGTCCGCTTAGGTCAGGCTGGGAGATCAAGAGCATGGAAGAATTGCTTGATTACTGCTCTATTTCGCTAGCTGCAACGCTTGAAGACGTTGTGAGATTATTACTACAGTTTCTTGTACTCCAGCTTGCCCTCCAGTTTCTTCGATTCCGCGACCTTCCGGACAGCCTTGTTGAAGTCGTCCTGGTTTATGGAGTCTCTATAGTCTTTGATGGCGAATAACCCACTGTACGCATTCTGTTAGCATAGGGTACTAGGGCAAACCATGAATTACTTACGCCTCTGTCACCACGTTCCGCAAATCCGCACCGTTCAGCTGATCGCTCATCTTAACCACACTCTCGAAATCTATCTCCCCATCCAGTGCAACACCGCTCGTATGAATCTTCAAGATCTCTAACCTGCCAACTTCATTTGGCAATGGAATTTCAATCTTCCTATCGAGACGTCCGGCTCTTAGTAGTGCTGGGTCTAGCGTGTCGGGTCGGTTAGTAGCCATAATGATTTTGGTCTTTCCCAGGTAGTCGAAGCCGTCCAGCTGGTTGAGCAGTTCCATCAAAGTACGCTGGATTTCTCGATCCGCAGACGTGCCTTCCGAGAATCTTCGACCACCAATAGCATCGATCTCGTCCATGAAAATGATACATGGTTCGTGCTCCTTAGCATACCCGAACATCTCTCTTATCAGACGTGCTGACTCGCCGATGTATTTATCGACGATAGCTGAGGAAACGACTGAATAACTATTAGCAAACGTAATAAGTAAGAATTGGCCATCAAGGTCTACCTTTCAGGAAATTTGTCTCCAGACCGCTTGCCACCGCTCTAGCTAAGAGCGTCTTTCCTGTACCTGGAGGCCCATAGAGTAGCACACCCTTCGGTGGCTTTATACCCACTCTCAAGAATAGCTCAGGATTTTTCAGCGGTAGCTCGATGACTTCCCGAAGCTCTCGTATTTGCTCGTTCAGTCCACCGATACCCCCAAAGCTGACCTGACCGGGATCTTCCAAAGACATGTTGTAGACAAGCGGATCAACCTCTCGAGGCAGCATTCGCATTATGGTGAGGGTAGTCATGTCGAGAGCAACACGTGTGCCTTGCTTCAGCTTGGCCTTGTCTACTTTTGACCGGCAGCCAACGACGTATCGAGGACCGGAGGAAGCTTTAACGATGACTATCATCCACCGTGTCAGCGTCGTCCGGATACTTGCATTCCAGCTAGGCTATTGAGTCAAATCCACAGAACTCACATCGTTCTTCATCAAGCTGCTTGAGAACTTCCCCTATGATCTGTCCTACACTCTGTAACGCCTTGATGTTGTCTTCTGTAGTATCGAAATCCGTCTGTAGACCCTTGATATCGAGCCGTAATGTCTTCAGCTTTGCCTCCATCTCTCTCAGCTCCAACAGCTTATTTTTGAATTGCTCGAGAGCATCAGCTCGCTCTGGATCATCTTTGCCATCCATATCTGCGACGTGAGGTGCACGAATCAATCGCCCCGTTCCGCTAAGGGCAGAGGCGAGGGAGATGGGAAATCGGAAGAATGGCCAGGTAGATGTTAGCCTATGGTGTATAGAGGAGTGTTAAAGAGGCGAAGATGAACAAAGTTCTGCCCGAGGAAGTGGTTGACGTGAGCTTGACATCGGAGCTTTGGCGCGTTTGCCGCCGATATCAAATTTCAGTTTCTCCGCCGCTCAAACTTTGGACAATCACAACAAGGGCTTCGCTCCGTGACAGCGGCTTACAAGAGGAAGGGACTTGGAAATTGAAGAACATTCAATTCTCAAAGTGAAGTCAGCCAGCCATGGTTCTCCAAGCCATCAGGTACTCCCGGGGAAGTCTCCAAATCCTTGACCAGCTCAAACTTCCCCATGAAGAAGTCTACAGAGACATCTGGACAGTGCAAGATGCATGGGATGCTATCCACTCAATGCAAGTCCGGGGGGCACCAGCAATAGCCATCGTCGCCGCCCTGAGCATCGCAGCCTGCGTCGCGCGGTGCAACAAGAGCGGAGCA